AACAACTTACTACTACAATATTGTTGTCAGCACACAACAACTTACTGCTACAATATTGTTGTCAGCACACAACAACTTACTGCTACAATATTGTTGTCAGCACACAACAACTTACTGCTACAATATTGTTGTCAGCACACAACAACTTACTACTACAATATTGTTGTCAGCACACAACAACTCACTACTATACTATTGTTGTCAGCATAAAACACATTCTTACACAATTATCCTCCATAAAATGAATAGGTAGAATAATCGATAACTAAGGCTCTAATTAAATCATCAGTGCTAAAAGGTAATCTCTTGTACACAATAAATAAGCTACTTACGGGTGCTACAATTAGAAAACATTATTGTAATTTAGTAAATAATCTATAAAGTGTGTATATTTGTCAGGTTGTAAAAAATCTTGTATGATTATAAACATGCAGATAACATAATAACATCACTTACATACCAAAAGACAAAGAAAGGCAGATTTGCTCTGAGACAGTCAGGTATCAATTATCACCAACGTTTGATAGTTTCTAACAAATGCTCTGTCATAGGGGTGTCTCACGGTATTTCAAGGTGTTTGTTTTACTATCAACAAATGAACTAACTGTATATTGTTAACTTCGAACAAATACGTATAGTTTCCATATCTATTCTCGTGATACGTTGGGCTCCTTACTGTCTTTGTTTTTTGAAGCACAATCAGTCCAATGTATATGATACTGATTACTTAAAGCACACATTATGTGATTGATCTGTAAAGTAACAACGTTGGATTCCAAGATATTGTACAAAAACCAGCATTGTTCAGGTCGAGAAACGTAGCATTGTTGGTTCATATATAAGAGTAACTAATGAACCTGAACCTTATGTATAAACAGACAGACAGAAATTTTACCAAAAAATGATATTGAACAAGACAGTTAGTATGGCCAATTGTGTTTTTAAGTATCGATTAAGTAAATACATTTAATATACTGATTATAGTTTTCGCTTCTATATCTAATTTAATAGACATACTTTTTGCATTTTCTGAAATTTTATGAGTAAAATACTTATCACTAATTTATTTGTTCTATATATCTTTTATTTCTATATCTAATGTATTATATCAGATCTACTCGTTCTGAAAAGGACACTTATTTAAATCTCTAAATAACATATAATAATTTTCATGTTTAGTTTTCTAAGTTCATTTGTTCCGCTGAAGTTTAATTTTAATGGATCTACATAAATAACTACGTTTAACTATTAATAGTGTAGAAAATTATATTCTTACGTTTATGTAGATATTTTCATTTTGATTATTAAATCAATTACTACATATAGATTTTCTTTCCGTTACTATCTGAAGTCATTGAACGCAAATGATAGAAAGATCCGCGAAGAATGTAGATTACCTTAAATACTGTGATTCACTTCCAAAGAATAACTGAGCCAAGACTGTGAGTTGCCCAGTATTAATAACATAGGCTGAATGACCATCATTTTAACTACATGTTTTCTTCTCTTTCAAGGAGTTCCAATAAGATATAATATGTACTCCAGTTCTAAACCCTGTGCCAGAGGGGAAAGGAGGAAAGAAAGAAAGGACAGACATAAAACATAATCAACTTTGCAAATACACCAAAGAAAGAATTAATTTCCCATCTGATTCATGGAAGCACTTAAAACAAGCTGCAATGGAATGGCTTGGATAGATATGGAAGTGTATATTAATAAGCTACATAGAAACACTTAAAACAAGCTGCAATGGAATGGAATGGCTTGGATAGATAAGGAAGTGTATATTAATAAGCTACATAGAAACACTTAAAACAAGCTGCAATGGAATGGAATGGCTTGGATAGATATAGAAGTGTTTATTAATAAGCTACATAGAAACACTTAAAACAAGCTGCAATGGAATGGAATGGCTTGGATAGATATGGAAGTGTATATTAATAAGCTACATAGAAACACTTAAAACAAGCTGCAATGGAATGGAATGGCTTGGATAGATATGGAAGTGTATATTAATAAGCTACATAGAAACACTTAAAACAAGCTGCAATGGAATGGAATGGCTT